ATAAAATAAAGAATAAGACTATTTAAGTAAAAAAAAATTATTTAGCTTAATCTAAATCTAATTTATAAATCTAATCTAAACTTTACTTAAACTTAATATTTTAAATTAAAATATTAGGTTTAAATTAGGTTTAAATTATATTTAAGTTAAGCTAAATATATTTTATTCTCTATAATATTTAACTTAATTTAAATCTAATCTAAACTTAATATTACAATATATTTTTGAAAAAACTTACTAGTATACTTAAAATATTATTTTATCTAAAAAATTATAATATAATTATTAAAGAAAAAAAACTAAAACTTTTATTTTAATAAAATAAAAAAAGAATTTCTATTTTCATCTAAGTTAAAATAATTTGAAATATTAATATTAAATAAATTTTCATTTACTTTAGAGTTAGGATAAGGTTTAGAATAGAGTTGTTAGTAAAACTAAATTAAGCTAGTGAAATTAGTGATTATCTAAAATCTGATTGGTTGTTTAGCTAAACAACTAATCAGATTTTAGATAGTCACTAGTTTTACTAGCTTAATTTAGTTTTACCAACAACTATAGTCTAGAATTTTATCTAGACATTAGTATATACAAATTTTTACAATAAATTTTTTTGTTAGAGCCTACTAATACTATTAATTTTAGTCACATAAATGTTATTATAGTCTATCGAGTAACTTTAACCCGAGTGAAAATAGAATTTCTCAAATAAATAACAAAAATATTTAAATTAAAAAAAATTAAATACTATAAAATAAAACTCAAAATAAATCATTGTTTATTATTATTAAAACTTAAAACTATAATATATAATATATCTAGTTAGCTACTATATAAATTTGCTAGTTATTAGTCAAAGAATATAATACTAGTCAAATAGTCTGAATTACACAAACTAAATTACTAATCAGACCAATTTTGACTATAATTAAATTGGTCTGATTGGTCTGATCGGTCAATTTTAATTTATATAATCAGATCATTTGACCAATTTGACCAATAGTTAAGATTCTTTGACCAGACCGATTATTGGTCAAATTGGTCTGGTCGAACGAACTAACAATAATATAATAAATAATACATTAAGTCGATAAACTTAAAGATTAACTTCCAGGTTTTCACTTTACAGAACTAATTTAATAAAATGTGAAATGTCGTTCCGTTTAACGTTATCCCAAAAATTAAATAAGCCAATCAAAAACACGAATAATCTTCAAAGGTAAAGTGAAAATAAAATTTGATCAAATAAAATTTTTTAATCAAATATATTTTTTGCGGTAAATAATAATCAACTTTTAAGCAATAAGTTTATGCAAGATATAAATAAGGCATTTTCATAATAACAATAACTTTGCATTTTTTTAATATAGTAATAAAAAGGTTATTTTATTAACTAAAAGAGTTAATCAAGGCAAATTTTTTTTTTAATACGTAATAACAGTTAAAAGTGTAAAATTTTTTAATAAGTAATAACAAAGAAAAAAATTTTTTATTCGTTATACGTAATACTTTTTTGTGTATAACTGATAATATTTGATAAATTATACGAACAATATAACTTTTATTCTACGATTCGTCATTTTTCTTAGATTAATGCATATTTTTTTTTATAATATTGTAAATGGTAGTATAATATGTAATAAATAATATTTAGAAATTGATCGACTTTGAATTTTTTTTTTGATTATGTAAATTTGATTCATTAGATTGGTCAAAATTGTTATTAAGGAGTCAGACAGACAAAATTCAAAACGTCTCAAAAATATCTGATACGTATACGACAAAAATTTATTAATGAAAATTAAATTAATAATAATAATAATAATAATAATAATAATATAATAAACTATTTTTTTTAAAAAAAAATCCTAATTATTATAATTAATTTTAAATAAATTTAATTGTATCAAATATAATTATAATAAATAATATTATAAACCCAAATTTCTTTTTTACGCAGTAAAAGATTTAAAAATGCATTTATTCTGATGTACGTACACCTCACTCCCTATTTAATGCATGCAAAGAAATAATAAAAATAAAATACAAGTGTTTAAAATGTTAATTAAATATAAATTATGCACGCATATAAATTATATGATTCTATCTTTATATGTTCAACTAATCTATGATATTGATTATGAAACATTCATATCACCCTAATGCCGAAATGTGTTTTTTTTATTTATTTATTATTATTGTCGTTATCGTTATTAAAAAAAAATATATATAATACAAATATCACGAGTACGAATTTGGTTTCAACGTATCATGTGACATCTGCGGTCTTAATGTTTTTAATGTTAATCGTTGTTTAAGTTGCATAGTAGTTCCTTTAGTGTTTTTTGAATCTACATTTGCCACTTTTTGCGCCTCAGCAAGTAGATCTGATGAAATATACATATCTGACGCATGTGATGGTCGTCGATTTGTTATGGAAGTTACGCC